AGCTGAACTGCTTTTTAATGTTCCGCCGATCTTTCTAAACGTCTGGACTGGGAGCAGATGACAGTGTCGTCTTTTTCCGAGATATTCTCACTTACATTTGACTTAGTAATTCCAGTTTCTTTTATTAATCTGTAAAGCTGTCTTGTGTTCCACATAGCCGCCGCCTTTTCCATCTCTTTTGCCTTCGTTGCCCACCACTGCTCACGATCGTTCCTTAGACTTTTGCTTAACCTAGGTCTGATTTGTTTTCGCTCTTCATCGTGTTCAGAACCCGATGGGATGAATTTATGAGAATCCATCAGTGCAATAGACCTTGAAGGAATCCAGCGGTTCTTCGTAACCATGTGGCCTAAATCACTAATAGATGTCACTGATGTTTCCACAGCTGTTTGTATATCTTTCCAAGCAACATCTGGGTCAGCCTCGTCTCCAGAACTACCTAAGTGTGACCTCAGTTGTTCCTGGAACTTACTTTTGGTTTTCTCGTTACTCAACTTAGTTCTAACGGGTCTTTTTAATGTGGCTTTTTTGCGTCCAGTGAGGTGCAAGCAGATGTGTACCCGTATTAGGGCGTGGTCGGAGTCCAAACAGGTACTCCAGAATGAGCGACAATCTTCTACCGACCCTCTCCAACGATGACTGATGGCAATATGGTCTATTTGAGTCCATCGTTGGTTTGGTGTAGGGGGTCGCCATGTTAGACGATTTCTCTCCTTATGCTTAAAATTTGTTTGCTAAAAATAAACGATTGTCTGAGCATAGTTGCAGCAGACGATCACCATTATCTGTTCGCTGTGTCGGAATACTAAAATATACACCTAAATGCCTTTCTGTTTGGTTTAAACTACCTATCTGAGCATTAAAGTCACCCCCTACGAGTACTATGTCTGAGCGTTTAGCTTTCTGAAGAAGTTCAGAAAGCTTTCTGTAAAATTCATCCTTCACTTCATCCGAGCTGCAGTCAGCGGGAGCGTAGGCAGAAACGACAAAAAGGCAACGAGGTGTGTCCCTATCCTTCCGAGTTCTTACGGAGCCGTTTAGCCGAACAGCACATAGACGAATGTTGACGGGGATCATCTCTAGCAGTGCTTGTTCAGCTCTCATGCTTAGTGCTATCCCTACACCTGCCAGTCCACGAGAACTGGCCATCGGGTCACCAGATACACGTAGGGTGTATCTCGTTGGCTCTTCGTTTTGCCGAGGTGAGGTCAAATAAATAACCACACTGGAAACCTGTATGCGTGTTTCGGAGACACAGCATACATCAATGGTACGAGATTCTAGGATTCTAGCCAAGGAAGCCTGTTGACCGATTTGACATAGGGTGCGTACATTGAAGGCTCCAATGTGTAGTGTGGAGCGAGGTTTCAGTAGACCTGGGACAGAGTTTTGAGCACTAGAATCGTTGGCTATGGTGACACTTGAGGAAGAAGCCGAAGGAGGAAGTTTAGGGTTGAAAGTCGGTGTAGGAGGAATAATAGGAATTGAAGAGGAAGGTTGATTATGAATACAGTGGTCTTGGGCGCTGTTAGAGGTATGAGGGCGGTTATCACTTCCCGGTTTCCCACACCGTGGAAGGGTTCCTCTGGAGGTACGTGAAAAGGAAATCGGATTAGAAGTGGTCTTATTGACCAGGGAGCGTGACCGCAGTGCCCAAGGGACAACTGCTTGAGGTCGGTCACACACGACCTTTTTATGGGCAATTTTTGTGTTAGCTCCGTACTTATTGAGACCTTACCGTCGGAGACGGATATCCGTGGGATAAGGCGAGGTATGCATTTCTAGGGTCGACCTTTTCTAACCCCACCCCTCCTTGTGGGAAGGCAGCATCGCTGTCATGCTGGTTGTCTGAAGGAAACACCTTACTGCTGCCTTACCTCCGTAGTCAGCAGTACGACTTCGCCTTCGGACCTTGGGTTTGTTGTTTTTAATCTTACCGCTCTTCAACCGACCTTTCTGACGTGGTAGGACCTTGAGGAACAGTTGTTCCAGTCAGTATAGCTCGGTTGCTTCCTCACGATAGGCAAGCCCGACCACCACGTCAAGGTAGCAACAACGGTCGGGGAGTATGCGGATGATATTGTCTTACTGCGCGATAATGCCCAAGGCATGCAATCCGCACTTAATCAGTTGGAAATCAGTGTTCATAGGTATGGTATGTGCTTTGCACCTTCGAAGTGCGAAGTACTTCTACAAGACTTGCAGGATTCTAATCCTGTACTCACCCTGCATGGTGAACAGATAGAAGTAGTCGAGAAGTTCGTGTATCTGGGTAGCTGCATAAGTGCTTGTGGGGATGTGAGTGATGAGATCAATGCACGTATAGTGAAAGCCAGAGCGGCTTATGCCAATCTGGGCCACCTTTGGCGCCTTCGTGATAATGGAGCCCATGTGCACCATTGATTTGAAATCCGGTTAAAGCGCCGGACATTCGCTTTCGTCCTCTCATTTTCGTAAACAACACCCCCTCCACGAGAAGGCAATGTGTAGGACTTCTCTGACAGAGGCTGTATACGCATGGCCGTGTGAGAGTATTTCGAGAATGAGAGCGGACTCTCCCCACTCGTATCTTTGTAACTAATATTTAATCCATTGCTTGCATTCTACTTTATCAATCTACGTAACATGCCTATATTAGTAATGTGAGTATTGTAGAGAATACAGTACTTTGTCAAAATATGTACTAGGTCTTGGGCCAACTCACAAAAGTTCAAACTCTTAGTAAACTATCATTTTTATACATAAAGAGGTTATTTAGCCCCAAAGAAACATTGAGGGGGCTCATAATAGTGATATTTACAGGTAACATATATTGAGGTTGGGAAAACTAGTCATTTCCGTAGTATTTATCAAACTGATAGGTGATCAGAGACTAACTCCATCGAACTTAGTCCACGATAGGGAGCGAAACCAGCTCAAAATAGTGACGATCAGTAAAACCAAAAGCGATAGAAAAGACAGAGGTGTTAAGTTATATCAGATATTTCAGATCTATTAAGAAAACAGCAAAAAATTAGTTGGTGAGGCTATGTCGGGATAGACGGGACCACCATTTATCTAGCCCTAGTGATTATGCCTGTGTGAAGAGCATTTTAAAGGACAATGCAACTGATCTCCAGCTTCCCTTAATTTACCCACTAACCAGAAAACTGGAATGAATAGTTGACGCAAGTCCTCCAACTGTTAGCGACGTCGAAAGGCTGACTGAATCAATCTACATTGAGGAAGGGAAACAACCTTAAACGAATTAACCTCTGAGGTCTGTAAGGATATTGATCTAGTTAAGCGCTTAGATTTGCCGAAATACTGCTAGTCAATTGTACAACGTAGAACTTTATACATGTCAGCTAAAGTGCTAAACCACACTATCACAGTGCAGTAATATTACTGAGACGAATCAGTGTATAACATGGTGTCGTGGTATGAAAGAAAGCTGCAAAGGGCTGGCTTGTGTTGGTCCTGCACAACTCCCTGGTTGGGGTCCTATAGATGGTGCAACACAGTGGCTAGAGACGCTATTAGATATGGCTCAGAATAGAAGCTAGTGGCGATCCTGCTGTAACCTTCTTTTACTTTCTTCCGATTATACCTTTCCTTTCCCCCATTATTACTATTATTATTGTTATTACACTACCTTACACTAATCTGTTCGTTGTTGTCTTTTTTCTCTTTGAATTCTCACTGTTTTGTGTGACGCATACATATTTGGTGCCCTCTTGTACCAATATTTGTGTTCAAATAAATAAATACTTAGACGAATCCTAGGGTAGTAAAAATAGTACCTGCATCTGAATTAGGAAAACATCTAAATGCTCTCACATAGCCACGCGTATACAGCCACTGTCAGGGAACCCTGCTCATAGCTTTCTCGAGGCCGGCGTGTTGTTTACGAAATTGAGAGGACCGAAAGCGAATATCCGGCTCTTTAACTGGGTCGGTAGATATAGAGGACCCACATAAGACAGTTGGAAAACCCCGATTCCAAACCAATGGTATACATGGGCTCTAGAATCCTGGGCGAACAAATGGCGTATAAACCTGTTGTTGGCCACTGGCTACCATGGGACTCCATCTCCTAATGTTGTTCCACTGTCTTGTGGATTACACCTGCAGGTCAAAGGCTCGGAATGTGACCCCTAAAACACCACCTGCATTGGTCTAGGCACCCGGGCAGTGTCACAGCTCACACACAGATCAAATGACTTGTGTGACGCATGTGTATTCGGTTTCTATATGTACTAATATTTATGTTTAAATAAATAGTGGGGATACGAAGATAAATGGGTGCAGCATAGCATAAGTACCTGTGCTTGTGCTCCGATCTCACAAGGATCGTGTGGTGACAGCGAGTCATGGTTTTAAAACCACAGCTCACTATCGAGAGGTCGCAGCTAAGGCGTTTAGAACCCAATGGAATTTAAGGTGGACATTCACCAAGTTAGAGACTACAATGTTTACTACAATATACACAACGTTAATGAAAACTAAGCTTCGAAACAGCGTCCAGGTTGAAAGTCTCTGTTTAGGTGACCCGGATGTTCTGAGAAAAGTACAGAGGACATATACTCGTACAATTCCAGAGCTCTGGGGTTTGCCATACAGTGAACGAATTGGAAAGCTAGAAATCTTTACTCTATCTGATCGCAGATCAGGATATCTGATTTTGATGTATGATTTTGAACCCAATATATCCTTTTTTCACTAGATCTGGACATCTTAGATGAAATAGACGAGTAGAAAAACCAAGAACAAACAAAATACCCGTGGCATACAGGTCATCAATTCTTGAAACCTGTTACCCGAGGAAGTGGTGGGCACACCTTTAATTGACTGATTTAAGAGAAGCTAAGACACTTACAGAAGCATACTAGGAAAAGAATATAAAAGACCGTAAGCCTTCCGTCATTACTACACAAATTTGTCTACTATCAAAACTGTCTCTATGGCCATGGAGTCAAAAATCATAAACAAACTACAACGTGGAAACCACAATAACTTACCGGACGATGAATTCGGTCTCCTATCTGTGACCAAGCCATCAGAAGGATAAAAAACATCTGTAAAACACTAAAGTGCGCCTAACATTTGAAAAGAAGCCATAGGCGAACTTGAGACGCACTAAAACAATCTAGCATCACTTTACTCAATCTCCATCACATTAGATGTCGTTACAAAATGTGACATATTTAAACGGTTCCTGAACTGATTTACAAAGATATGAGGGATAAAGAAAAATCCTCTACTTGACAGGCCTACATATTTAGCACCAATTGATATTGCATCAAAGTATAAATATAGTTTGATGAAAATGCGGAGTGATACTGAACAAACATTTATCCCGTAACTTATGAGTTGCAATGTCTTCTAAGCATCTGTTAAACAGGTGAATTAATCTGTGGTGGTTATCCCGGAAGAAACTCTGCATGTAAAATTCCTAGAGATACTGCCGGTCCCAGTTCCGTAGAAAACAACCTTGCTAACAACACACTAATCAAGACAAATAAGCCAAACTACTTGAACTCTATGATCCGAGTTCAGCGATCTTCATTCAGAAAAATAATAATGTCTCAGGGTGAAAACCGAAATTCTACTGGAGTCACGAGATCGATTTCGCTTCCAATAACCACAACAATATTTATAGGTACATGGAACATACGGACAACGTGGGAGACCGAGAAGACCAGTCGAATATCTGAAACACAACACGGAGAACCAGATAGATCATATTTGCATCACTAATTCACAAGGTCAACGGAAGACATGAGAACATGGAAAGAAGCTAACATAGCTTCAGATAACCATCTGGTTGTAGTCAAGATCAAACTGAAGCTTAAGAAACACTAGGCAGATGGCGAAACAGCAGCACAAAGGCTCAATACAACCTTTTTACGAGATACTAAACAAACCAACGAATTCAAGATAGCACTCAACAACAGGCTACAAGCCTTACAGGATCTACTCAAAGAAGATTAAACTACTGTGATGAACAACTGGATCGGGATCAAAGAGGCACCAACTCCAACAAAACAGAAGGTTCTAGGTCACATCATCATAACAAATGGATCTATACGGAAGCTCCAGACAACATTCAAGAAATGAAAAACAAGAAGACGGCAATTAACAACAGCCAAACAAGGACAGAGGAATTCTAGGCACAAGCTGAATTCACCGAAGTAAACAAGCACGTGAAGAAGAGCATTAAGGCCGACAAGCGGAAATATGTGGAACATCTAGCAGTGACGGCGGAAAAAGCTGCAACAGAGTGAAGTATGAGGCAATTATATGACACAACGAAAAAACTCTCAAGGAAATATAGTAAACTAGAAAGTCCCTTCAAAGACAAAGAAGGCATGACAATCACTGAGATTCAGAAACATAGGAACAGATGGGTAGAACACATTGATCAACTCCTGAAAGGGCCAATGCCGCTGAACTCATCGGACATCGAAGCAGCACTCACAAACGTTCATGTAAATGTCACACTACCAACGATCAAAGAAATAAAAATGACCACCAGTCAAGTCGAGAGCGCGAAAGCAGCAGAAACAGACAATATACCAGCGGAAGCACATAAGCCAGAAATTAAAATAACTGCAAACATTCCCCACATACTATGCAGGAAGATATGGGAAAAAGAACAAATGCCACAGACAGACTGGAAAAAACGAAACTTCGTCAAGATTACAATGAAAGAATATCTGAACAAGCGTGACATCTAAAGAGGCATCACACTATGAACGATACCAGGAAACGTATTCAACAGCCATACTCAATCGGATGAGGAACACGGTAGACACAAGGATTCGACAGCAATATACCGCATTGCGTAAGGATCGAGCGTGAGCGGCAAATTCTCCAGCGCACCGAATCCCATGTCTTAAAATCATTTCAAAAAACAGTAGGCTTTTTAAACAATATTATGATAAATTCCTAGGATGTATAAAAGTTAACTATGATGTTTATATGTTAAAAATACAAAAAATGCTTATTATTTTCTAACACAAGAATTTTCTAACTACTTATGTGATTTAGTAGTAAGTAAACAGTTTAGACGATTGATGGTTCGAAACTTATTTTCTGCAATGATACAATACAATTGATGAGACAGAAGTACAACAAAAGAAGCATGAAAATGGCAAGATAAGAATACAATCCTCAGAAATCACCCTATTAATCTTTGAGGAGGAATGATGCAAACCGCAGTTGCATGAACTATAGTAGACCTGTGAGGGTACAGAATTCATGACAATAATCAGTTAATCAGTCAATTAGTCAGATGCATATTGTTTCGTAAAACTAACTGAATTTCATCCATTATTTATTTATATTCCCTATCTATCTATTTTCTAGTGTCTATAAGCTAGTTTTTAAATTGTGTGACTAAGTTCTGGATATCATCATTATTGGCATTATTCTGAAATGACGATAATATATTTTTAACAAAATCTCACAATTTAGACAATATGCAGGCTTATTTATTGATTTTGTGCACGCTTGATGGAGAAACTCTGCAACAGGTGGAAACTTTCACGTACCTCACTGGTCAGCAACATCGATGAACATGGACGATCTGATGCAGACATCAAGGCAAGGATTGGCAAAGCAACAACAGCATTCCCACAGTTGAACAACATATGGAACTCAAAACATCTGTCTCTCAACCAATATCAAAGTTACAATCTTCAATACGAACGTCAATACAGTTCTACTGTACCGAACTGAAACTTAGAGAACTACCAAAACCACAAGTATTTATAAACGATTGTCTACGTAAGATATTCAATGTCCGTTGGTCGGATACCAACAACAGCAGCCTACTGTGAGAGACAACAAACCAGCTTCCATCTGACGAGGAAATGATCGAAAGACTATAGAAGTGGATAGGACATACATTACGAAAACCAACAAACTGCATCACGAAGCAAGCGTTAACTTGGAATCGTGAAGAGAAGTGGAAAGGAGGAAGGCTGAAGAACATACTGTTTTGGGAATCGGAAGCACACATTAAAAGGATGAGTAGCAACTGGAAAGAACTGGGAAGGATTGCTTAGGACAGGGTTGGATGGAGAGTGCTGGTGGGTGGCCTATGCTCTTCGACGAGAGGTAACAGGCGCAATTATGTAATCCAGGAAGGAGATTGTAGGTAACGTTCATTGAATAACGGTTTTTATTATTCATCGTGGCTCATTTTCTCATCGGAAAAAAAGGCTGTATTTTATTAAAATCTTCCACATTTCCAGAATAACCTGTTTCACTTTCTTCTGCATCTCTCAATGAAATACTTTAAGACCATGTAAAGTTTTCAAATTCCGAATGTTGTAAATGAGGAGATTTTCACAAAATGTTTCGTCAGGTTATTATTAGGAATTTCACTAAGTTGATACGCCAACTCAATCCGATGCGCCTTCAATGTTGTTGAGGAGTTGCAAAGGAGGTCACGAGCATGAACACAAGTTTGCTAAACGCTTGTCACGAGGCGAATTTCACTCATATAACTCATGTATATATTGTATTGCCAAACGATTTCAATGTGATGAAATCGGACACATTTAGTGAGTTTGTAATACTAATGTTTATTTTGATGTAACTAGTGCTAAACTTTGTAATTCTGATCCTCTTAAGTAGATTGCTTTCAATGATCATTTATTTTTTCCACGATTTCGAAAAGGAGTATAAGCTCATACAGCAGTCCAGAAGCAGCTGAAAGTCACAACTTGCTAAGGAGGTCGACGGGATAGACAGACTTATTGGAAGAGCTAAGACCACTTCTGGGACAATAACGGCTCACATACCTTTTACTTACTCGACTTCCCTCATGACCTTTGCCTTTTGATTCGCCGTCATGTTCTTATTTTATTGAAGTTCTGACAAATAGCCATTTGATAAAATTACAATTGGGTACACATAACCATTCTTTCAAGAAAAACATGGATTAAGATGGAAAAATCAAGCCTTCAGCCTACAAGTCAGTTTGCGGTGGGCGCAACAGATGATAAACTAACGCTTATCGGAGTTTTATCATGCTAAGTAGCACGCAAAGATATGACTCTAAGTGGTATACGTTACATGTCAGGTGATAACCTAGATTTATTAGGTTCACATTGTAGAGGCATGGGGCCCTAACCACAACTGGGAAACAAGATATTCAGTATTTAGCGCGGAGAAAAACTCAACGATGGAGAGGGCTGGAAGAATGAACAGAGTGAATTCGGATTGGTTGGACGGCATGGCTCGACCTTGCTGGCGTGGTCAACCTTGAGTGTTGTAGCATAATATTTAACTCATATTAAATATATTGTTCCATCTCTAGCCTAAGTTTGTTCGCCATCATATATTGGTGATTGTTACAGTGCGAAGAGTTGGTGTAGACAAAGGTGTGACTTCCACGTGAGATCTTATAGATTAGGCAGTTACATCATGACAAATCCACAATTTTAGGATCAGGTCTGTTATTAAAACAGTACTAATATCATAGTAGAACATAATTCTACCAGACTGGTTTGATAGAATCAAACTTCAAGACGCTCGATTGAGAAACGTATGCAACGAAATTGTAAGTAGAGATGAAAAACAGCAGTATATCACAAAAATCATGGAACAATTTTCGGACGTGTTCGCAGAAGGTTCGAGGCATTATACTACAATGAAGCTAAATCTCCACTTAAAAAAGATGCAAATTCAGTGTTTCGGCCAAAAAGACCAGTTCCTTATACATCATTACCAGATATGGACACGGTTCCAATGTCTAGAAAAACAGGGTGTTCTATTACCAGTTTCATTCTTAATCTGGGCAGCTCCTATAGTGGTCATTAAGAGACCAATTGGTACACTGTTGATCTGTGCAAAATCTGATTACAGTCCTTATGTTGTCGTATCAGATGTTATTTTCCCCCCACAATGGATTTATCTCTAGTGATATTCCTAATGAATGTGACAAATATGTTCCGAATTAGTCGAATTGTGGTCACAAATATGATATTATTGTATCAGCTGTTGGATATTCTCACAACCAATATGTGTCTAGATAGTGTAGTGATGAATCATAGGGAATGACAAGATTTCACTAATCAATGAGAGAAAAAGACTGCCTAGTCATGAAGCTTTTACCGACAGATAATTCAAGTCGA